GGGGGGAAGGGAGGGAAATGCACGGGACTATGGTGGTGGCACAGGGGTGATTTGGTGATGGGAAAACCGCGGGGATTACAATCAAGATGGAAAAAAAAATGTGCAAAATGATGTAAAAATAAACTTTGTAATAAATAAAAAAAAATCTGAGTTCTAAAACATCTTTTAAATGTAAAGACTGTGATGTATATTCCTGTCCAAATTAATATAACCCAAGATATAAATGTAACAATTTAATGAGCTCATTTGAAATTGTGCTATGACTCCATGCTAGGTGTGTCATCATATATATGAACAGCTGAAGTGAATGACAGTAGTGTTTAAGGAACAGAACGATAAACTGAGACTGTAGCACTACCCATTAAGTGGGATAGTATTATGTGAAATAGACTTAGATTAGTAGGAAATTTGTACTGCAAACTCTACAGCAACCACTTTAAAAAACTGAAAAAGGATGTATAATCAATGTGCTTCTAGCTCAACTTTCCTAAAAGCCCAGCTTTTTAGAATTACCTTAGGCAGGTGTTGGCAAACATTTCCTATAAAGGGCCAGGTAATATATATTTTAGGCTTTGGGCTAAAGATCTCTGTTGTCACTACTTAATTCTGGTGTAGTGTCTAGTCACAGACAAAATGTAAATGAGTGAGCATTGCTGTATTCTAATAAAAGAGGATTTAGATAACAGGCTGGAGGCCAGATTTGGTACATGGGCTGTAGTCTGCCAACCCCTGACCAAAGAAGCCAAAAGTCCCAGAATTACACATATGTAACTAGAATGGATACTCCAGTATGAGAAGCTCCCGTGGTACGGTCGCCATCGAAGTCACAAAAGGCGTAGAGACTAGCTCCATGTAATTGTAGAAAAAAGTCTCTGATATTTTTTTCTTCACCTCCTCTTCTGCCTCTTCCACAGCTGGGGTCTCCACATACTGAGATCCTAAAAAAATTTAAATGATTTTAGTAAATGAGCATCTGGTGAACCCTGTTTGCTTGTCACTAAGACCTAGGCACAGTGCTCAGGCTGGAGGCGCTACTTGGCGAAGGCACCCACCACCAAGCCCCGAAGAAGCACTAACACTTGTGGACCAGGACTGCCCGCTGAGCGCTGGTCACATCCTCAGAGGGCAACTCCCAGCCCATTCCCACAGAGTAATTCTCACTAGTCTGGACCAGAGTGCTCCATAGGCCCCCAACTGCCCAGAGACGGAGCACACAAGTTCTGTGTGTGATCCTCCAAGAGATTCTAGAGCCAAACTACGAGGACATGTTCAGTGCTTTTCCTTTCATCACCCTCACTCAGCCTCCACTATATTCCTAAGGAATTATAGCTGTTCAATTTGACATTAATTCAGTGACCGTTACTAACAGAAAACTAACAAGGCTTACCTTCGATGTTTTCCACAAAATCATATTGAAGTGAAACTGAACTTCCTTCCATATCTGACACCATATCTGAGTCATTGTCCTCCAAATATGATTCTTCCCCTTCAGTTATTGTTTCATCTGTGGTATCCTTTAGAACATCTATTAAAAATGATGTTTTCATGATTTCTAAATTTTGACTTAGACATTTCCTCATTTAGCTAATACCTTCAATTTGTTTGTGTTCTACAATGAATGAATTTTAATACTGAAATCTTGGGAATATCACTGAACTTGGTTATTCTTGTAATTTTACACATACACAAAGCCTTTCCAATGACTCAATCTCCATTTTGATTTAATTTCCCATTTATTTCCTAACACTACATATTTACAACAAATTTTAAAGATAAAGAAAAAATGAAAAGTATCTCTAAGTGGTAGATTCAGAACTCAAAACTACAGTCCAGCTCTTTTTATACTATGCAGTTTTAGAAAAGTGCATTTAAAAAACTGGGAGCTCTCCTATTCAAAAGTCACAAAAACACTAATTCAAAAAGACACCTGCACCCCCATGTGTATTGCTGCTTTATTTACAATAGGAAAGACATGGAATCAACCCAAATGCCCAAAAGTAGATGACTGGATTAAAAAGATGTGGCACATATACACAATGTAATATTACTCAGCAATAAAAACAGATAAACACAGGCCTTTTGCAGTAACATGGATGGAGCTGGAAGGGATCATGCTTAGTGAAATAAGCCAGAAAGAAAAGGAAAAATGACAGATGGTTTCACTCATAGCAGGAGTATAAAGGACCAGGGGAGAAAATAATAATAATAATGAACAACTATCTATCAGACATTTTGTGGGGGTGGAATGGGATAAAAAATGGAGGTGGGGGTGGGGAAGTGCACTGGACTATGGTGAGGGCACACAGGTGATTTGGTGATGGAAGCCTATAGGGATTACAACTGAGATGGAAAAAGGTACAAAGGGATGTAAAAATAAACTGTTATATTATTTTTTTTAAAGATTTATTTATTTGTGCATACAGAACTGGGGTACAGGCCAGAGGCTCAGGGGTGGCGAGAGGCTTCACCAGAGACAGAGTGGGGAGCAGAACAGGCAGATAGACGAAGTACACTGCTGAGGGCAGCAGCGGGCTGGTCAGGAGAGGTCTGCCACGCCACGTGGTCACCTCCGGGGCAGGCAGGGATCGAACTCATGCGGAAGTGGTTTCAGCTACTTAGTGCAGTGCTTTAACCCGCTGTGCCATCAGGGAAGGCCAAACTGTTACATTATTTTAAAAAATGATATGGAAAAAAAAATTGGTAGATCTTACAGGCAAAAAACAAAACCAGATGCGCAGATAGGTCATTATCAACACAAAAAACTGTGTGCCAGGAGTTGAAGATAAAACGACTGAAACAGGCTCTCCCTGTGGTGCAATGGATTCAAGCACCACATTATAAGCTCTCCGAAGCCACTGAAGCATGAGTTCGATCCCCAGCTAGGGAGCTGACCCACATGGTGTGGCAGACCTCTTCAAACCAGCCCGCTGCTCCCCTCAGCAGTGTACTTTGTCAATCTGCCTGTTCTGTTCCCTACTCTGTCTCTCGTGAATCATCACCACCCCTACACCTCTGGCCTGTACCCAGTCTGTAAGCATCAATGAATAAATCTTTTCTAAAAATGACAAACACAGACTCTAAAAGAACTAGAGTTTAATAAAGAAATCAAACAAGTAAACCATTTCTGTTGCATAGCTTAGATATGTACTCTGTAAAAATTGTTTTACCAAAATTGAATAATAAAAACAATATTATAATCTATTTACACCTTGGTACAGATTTAGAGGACTTGCCGAGATTGGTATCACTTACTCTTTGATTGATCTGATTTCCCCTCATCAGTATCCTGGTCATCTGGCTCCTTCATTTCTTCTCTAAGTGCAAAATTGAGACAGAAAAAGATGAAGCTGTTAAGTAGAAATCATGAGCAGATTATTTCCCTAGGCAAGTTCTACAAGCACCAAACACACTGTGTGTGTTGATGACTGTATGTTTGCAGTAACCAAGTTAACTTCACCAGCAGGCGGGCACAGCCACATTCACAGACCAGCACAGAGCTGTAAGGCAGTCACGTGTTTCCCTAGCTCAGACTAACTCCTTGACATGGTGCCCTCCGGTTTTGCAGTAAGACACACCATTCAGGGTCATCTTTCCCCTAAATGCACCATTATTAATTAAGCTGCCAACCGTCTTTTGTTTCATTCCTCTTATTCCTCTTCCCATGACCAAATCCCCTTGGTGTCACTAATCAATTTAAAAATATTTGTTGAAATGGTATTGGGAAAGCTGGAAAGACATGGAAGGAAAAAAACAAACTAGCTCACTACTTAATACCATGCACAAAAAAATTAGTTCAGTGGATAGAAGGCCTGAGACCATAAAGAGCATAATAGACAATATAGACTATATATTCCTGAACATCAGCTTCAGAAACATATTTGGGGCCTCAATTCTACCAACAAAGCAAACAAAAGCAGTGGGACTACCTCAAACTATAAAGCTGTTGTATAGTCAAATAGAGTCAACACAAGTTGGGCTGCTGAGGCCTAAAAACTTACCGCAAGTTTAAGGTACCACCTGATGGCAAACAGCAAGAAAAGAGTTAGTCAGGTATGGGACAAAGGCACAAAATGTTACTAAAGGTACAAATCAAGGGCCCTCCCTGGTGGTGCAATGGGTTAAGGCACAGCACTGTGGAGCTAGCAGGGCCACTGCAGCATGAGTTCGAGTCCTGGCCTGCCAGCTGCTCCACTCAGCAGTGTGTTTTGGTCCATTTTCCTGTTCTGTTCCCCACTCTGTCTCTGGTGGTTTCTCTCAATCCCCCACACCTCTGGCCTGTACCCCAGTTCTGTGTGCATGAATGAATAAATCTTTAAAAAAGTACAAATCAAGATAATATCTGCCATTGTCTCAAGGACAGCCTCCCCCCTGTCTCCTACCCAAGGGCTTTTCTCCATGTGTCTTTTCTAAGCATCCAATCTCTCCCCTCTCTCCTTCTCTCCCTCTCTCCCCACCCCTAACTCTCTCCAAGTTTTCCTAAATCCTGAGGTACAATTCAAAGCCAAGAAGCTTGGCATTACTAAAGTTATTAACCAGGATCCATGGTCAATCCAAACTTTTCACAAGCTCAAATGCTCCCTCTGAGCAGTGTGTAAGCTGGCCACGTGAGCACTCAGGGTCTTGTATAAAAACAGAGCGCGCTTTTTCCTTTTCCATTGTGATATTCAATGATGGAGAGAATAACGGCCGCTGTGTTTTGAATGTCTACCATGAGTCAAGCAGTTTAGAGTTGTACACATATTTCACATCTTTTTCAGAAGAGCTCTATGCATTTGGTACAACTTCCAGATGAGAATGCAAAGCAATTACTCTTTAAGTCATTCTGTCACACAAATCACTCAGTGTTTCCAGTCCTGTTGCCAAGTGTCCAGGTGTGAAGCCTTCTGAATTCGTCTCTTCCCTTTGATTCCCACTATCACCACCCTAGACCTGGTCCTCATCATGTGCTACCTCATCACGTGGTTATCTATCTCGCATCTGAGTCTTGTTTCTCTGACCTTTTTCCTACACGGCCTATTTCTAATAATGTGTGTCTCTTGTTTACAAACCGTTCGTGACTCCTCACTGCCCTACAGTGAGCACTTGGCATGGCACAAAAGTCCTTCAACCAGAAGTCTGTAGTTCTTTCCTGCTAGTTTCTCCCTTCTTAGACCTTCCTAGCCCCTTCTTCTCAAAAGTTTTCTTTCATCAGTAACACTAAGGACAATCCATGACTGACCAGGCACACACCAAGTCCTCGTGTACTATTGTTATCTACTTGGGTGCAACAAATGGGAATTGTATACCTACTGTGTGACACTCATGTGTTATGCACATTATCCTATTTAATTGTAAAAAGAAACTGAAGAGGCGAGAATTTTCACCTTCCTTAGAGATAAGGAAGTAAAGTGTAGAGGGGTTCACCTGCAAAGTAGCACACAGCTAACTGTGGACTGGGGTGACTTGTTTGACTCTGGATCCCAGGTACTTTCCCACCCGCTACTTCTTCTGGCTTGGCCCTGCCAACCTCCCCGCGCCTACTGCCCACCACGCCAGGCCAGGTTATGAGCTCTGAGCAGGACGAAGTGTGCCCACCTAGTTTCCACAGCCTCAAGCCTCTGCCTACCAAAGCTAGTCACTTTCTACCTTTGCTGATTGGTAGAAGGATGAAGGGATATTTCAGCAAAGATTGAAGAACTATTTCAGCCTAAGGGAAGTCCAAGTGGGTTTACTTCTCTCTGACTTGCTAACAGAGTTGAGTGGGAGGGTGTGTGACCCACTGAGGGGTCCAAACGTACGTACCTATAGTGGCGACTCACACACAACGAATTTCCAGTCGCGGCTTCTTCGGAAAGCCGGGTTTACTGCGGTTGCCACGGCAACGCCCGCCTCCCGCTGGCAAGGTGGCGCTTCTGGATGCGCCTGCCTGCGCGTTCCCAGCTTTGGCTTTGGGGAAGCCTAGGTGAAGCTTGGGCTGAAGCTCGGGTTGTTTGCCCCTGGCTTCTTGCCCGGTTCAAAGTATAACTGAAAAGCTCAGCGTTCTGCCAATTCCCCATCCCCTAAAGGGATTTCTGTAACTGTAAAGCGAAATGACTTTTGAAAACTTTTAAAGGCTCCTGCCCTAAAATACAGAATGGTCCTAGACTTGAAGGCAGATCTTCACGCGGGCTTTTTTGGTTTCTTTTAGATCATGTTATCTGTTGGCCTGTAAGAGTTATTAAGATTTAGTGTTGTAGGCGCATTAGACGCAGGACATGGAAGCACAGACGCAAAGGCCTAGTTTCACAGAGTTCTTGATTTAGAAGTTTGTTCTTCAGCGGCTCTTATAGAGCAAGTGCTAGTAAATATAGTGGTTGTAAAATAGTATTTTTAAGTGGTTACACGGTCTTATTTAATGTGACGTGTTTCTCAATTTCCAAAAATCTTTATACCATGCATTAGTTGGTAATCAAAACATTCACTTAGTTTTTTCCAGTTTGACAACAACAACAAAAAAATGCCATTAATCTTTCAAAGGTATTTCCAGGTTGTTTGAATAGTCAGAAAACATAGAACAAACTTAGTATAAATTGCATGTAAGTAATTTGCCCAATGTTTTATTTCAATTTCCAATCATGGTTTTGTACTGTTTCAGATGAAATGTCTTGATTTTAAGCACTGAGTTCTATTGTTAATCTGGGGGAGGGGGGAATAAATCCACTGCACAATGTTTAAAACATTAAAACTTGCAAGCACTGAAAAATGGTGTACTTACTTGTGCAGAAAAACACAGGCAGTTATCATTACTGAGTGCTTACTGACAGGTCCTTGCTGCAAATCTGCATGCTTTCTTATTTCCCTTATTTAATCCTCACAACCTCACTTGATTTCAAATGGAAAAGACATTAATTCACCCAAGGGGCACAACCCAAGTGGCAGAGTTGTGTATTTACCTCCTATACCCACCTCAGTTTCCTCATGTGCACAAAATACTTCATGCCTCATAAATGTTTCACGAAAATCACATAAAATAGTTAAAAGAGTACACTTAATAAACAGCATTCAATTCTGCTAACCCAGATATTTCATGGAAGTGTAGAAAATGATAATGTAACTGTGGACTTAGTTCTTAATCTAATTTCTCTTCCAAGTTGAAATTTGGAGAATTGTAAATGATTAGTTTAGCAAATGGTTAGCAACTTTCTGGACATAATGCACATGTCCTGTTATTTCAAAACACTTGGTCTAAATTCAAAAAACAAGTAATTGGAGTTCATTAATACAAATGTAGTTCAGTCAACGATAGCCATGTTCAGAGCTACAGCTCATTGGTTACCAAACTTGAGAATATCCCAGAAACACCTGAAAGAGCTAACTAAAATAAAGTGTTTCTGATGGTCTACACATGCTTCAGTGGTGACATCATTAGAAGGGGGGTGGTCCCATACTTCCAAATGCAGCCAAAGTAAACCACCACTTCAATTAAAAAATAGAGTTTCTAATTAGTAGGTCTTGGGGAGGGCCCAAGAATCTCCAGTTCTAGTAGGTATCCCAGATGATGCCAAAACATTACTGATTGGGGTTCATACACTGATGCAACTGGCTCTGAAACTTGATAATGAGGTCCCACGGTAGTTTAGCTAAAACTAAACATATACCAGTTTATAATTTGGGGGTGAAAAGTTTCTTTATAAAACTGTTTCCCCACACTTGGCTAGACACTGAAGTCACCTGGGGAGCTGTTTAGTAATCTTTGTTTCCTCTCCCCAGCGGTTCTAATATGCATAGGATGAGCCTTGGACATTGGGGGTTTTAGGTCCCAGATGACTCTAATGGCAGCCAAAATTAAGCAGCACTGCCGTAAAAGGCCTACGAAAGCTTCTTTCCTCCATACCTGTTGTTCTTGGAGTTCTTTTCAACCTGCTGTAGTGCAAGCAGACAGGCCAGACAAGAAGGCCAGACGTACCAGGAGACTGACAGGCTTCTCAGTTCCTAGAGAATCTTTACTCTTTCTCTCATGGGCTCATCCTCCTGCAGCCGTTCTACTGTCTCAGTTTTCATCTCTGAGTGACGCAGCCCTTATAGCCCAGCCTCCAGGCTCAGGTGTGTCCACTCATGCATGCCTGCGCCATCCTCCAGGCACGTGTGCCCCGTGCCCACACTCTCCAGTGCCTTCTGCATTAAGGGCCACAGGGGCCAATGGTGTAATCTGACCATTTCACTTACCCTACACCTACTTTTGTATTTTATCAGAGAAAATGAGCACTAACAGGATGTACACTTTAATGTCCGTCCCACAGGCTGCAAGTGAGTTAGCAGTAAGTTTTTTTGCATTGGCTTCTAATTCTGGCTGTACTCCAAATCACTTTAAGCAGCTTCTAAAAAGATTATGTCAAGGGTTCACCTCCCCCAATACAGTTTAGTATTTTTCAAATGTACCCAACATTGAGAATATTTTTTGAGGCTCAAAGGAATAGAAAGGAGAAAACAATAAAGTAGCAACCAGTTGTTAAACCAGGATATAAAAAGAATACATTCACAAACCAAGTGGATAACTTGGCATTTTAATGATGCCTGGAAAAGCACTAGTTTTATTTTCCAGATGGAGATATTTATTAAACATCAAGTTCCAAAAGCTACAGATGGAAGTATCTGCAATAATGCAAATAAAAACACACAGCCACATAAATAAAATCAACGATATCAGAGTAATTTTATTTTTGCCACAAGAAAGAGGCCTAATCAAAGTTATATAGAACACTTTCTAGAACAGTGATTTACAACTACAGGAGGAGGAAGGCATTGTCTGAGAATATTTCCCAGATAGTATCAATGTGTTTCTGCACCCCACTCCTACTTCACTTAGGTAGAGAAATCTTATTATTATTATTTTTTTAGAAATCCTATTATGTGTCCCATGGCAGATAAATCCCACCACAAGCTGAAAACAGAAGACAAAGTTTGAAAGCCAAACAGGTGCCCTGAATATTGGGTAAATTTAGGGCTAGGAAAATTGACAGTAACTTTTTATATTTTGTTTTTTTTTCAATCATTAAATGTACCAATTAACCAATGTTAGTATTTGGACATTTGAGCTCTAGAATGTACATGACCAACATTGATGCCATCTTCACACTTAAAGACTACATACGATTTTTATAACATACACAACCACCTGCCTAAGCAATTACAAACAGTCCAGGCCCGCGCTTTAACGCCATACATTCCACTTGAAGGAAAAAGTGAGGGACTACAGTGACTTTCCCCCCCAAAAGAAACTTGCAGGGGTGTTAAATTTTTCTGAAAGCCTGACTTTAATCACACAGAAGCATTTAATTTTAAGCTATATGCAGATTAACTTGGTCCTAGAAAAAACTAGAAACAAAATAGATCAACATTTAAGCTGCTGAGCCACCCTCAGAGCCTCAGCCTCGGGGCTCAGGTGCGCCCTCGTCTGCGTGCCCCGGCCATCCTCCAGGCACGTGTGCCCGCGCCCACGCTCCCAGGTGCCTCTGCATTCAAGGCCACAGAGGCCAGACAAAAAACCAAATAAAGATGACAAAGGCAAATATGTATTACTCAAATAAATTTAAAATTACTTACAAAAGTTATAATATAAAACTTTAATTTCTCTAAGTCAAATTTTTATGCACAGGAGGTTGTGAGTTGGTCATTTGTTGGAAATCTATTTGAAAAGGGTAAAAAATTAAAGTAGTCGCTTTATTTCTTTGTCCCATTAGTAGAAAGTCACAAGTTTTTTTGTAGATTTTATCTAAAAGGACACAAAAACTTGGTAACAGGAGCAGGAAAGCTCAAGAATTACACTTCTGAGAACAAGTGCCGTACCACACCACTTATGATATATGCGTAGAAAGCGCAAACCAACCTTCTTCATTTTGTTGCTCAATCTGTGGAATAAAGATGCAAAAATCAGCTAGAACCTAACCAGAAGAATGACACCATTCAGGATTTACAGTTATTTAGACCAAATACATGGAGCCAAAGTTATACCATTAAATATTACATATTAAGTAGCCAGTAGAAAATTTTAGAGACAAACCCAAATAACTGATTCCCTAATAAACAGAATCTCTTACTGATTTAGGATACATTTAAAAGAAAAAAAAAGGCTAAACCCTATGTCTGATAAAAATCATAGGTATAACTTTTTAAAATGATAAAAGGTCATTGGATATTAGTAAATTAAGTTTGTTATTTAATTCCAGGCACTAAAGGCTAACTACATGAAATAATTCATTTTAAAAATTTTCTAGAGTATAAAAATTAGTAAAGGCCAAGTCTTCTTGTGCTGGACAGTTGGGATATCTGACCCTATCAATTAATCTGGCTGTTAATACTCAGTGTTATACTGATGCTCTCATGATTTGGTCCAATTACTGAAGTTCATAATACGAGTAGCAAAGAAGAATCCCCTTCCTGCCACCAGACAACTGTTAGTTCAAGTTGCAAATATAATGATTATGAATTTAAAGTTGTCCTCACAATTTGTTATGACCAAACACCAAAAGAAACTCTTGTTCTATTACCAATACAAAAAAAAAAAAGTGGCTTTTGCAAAAACTCTGCCTATATTGTAAGAATAGTCATTTCTATACAAAACATTAGTTATCCTTTGTGTGATAAACTCTCTAACGGGAGCATCTGAGAAATGGCACAACTGGGGTAAAGTGACAAGGAACGTGACTGACCCCAGGCCCCACACCGGTCCAGCAAGGCACCTGGTCCCTATAGCGAGAACTAATATCTGCGCCCCCCAATTGGGGAAGTACTGCAGCAAACCAGTAATTATCTGTGTTTGGGGATTATCAAAATCCTACTGAATTTTATCATATCCCTTTATACTTTAAAAGATAAAAGTTCATGGCTTATTTTTTTCTAAGTAGGATGAGTTAGTATTTCCTTTCTTCTGAGGATTTTAGATCACCTTTAGCATAACAGGAATAATAAATTAGGAATGGAAATCATTAAAGCAGCTACCATCCACCCATACCCTCCCATCCCCTACACACATTTCACAATTACATTTTACCACATACCTTTGCTCTTGGATTAAGAGGTGTGAGTCGCCCACTTCCTGAAGTGGTGTTTAATGGAGAACATGAATTACTAGTAGCGCCTGAAGATCTGTTTAATGAGAAATATCAAAGAGTAAGAGAGTGAGCTGTCACTACTAACCTTTAACAATTATGTAAGACTGACAACTCTCAATACCGGTAGAAGCTTGAAAAGGCATGGCTGACTTAGGCCCAAATGAGATAAATCATTTGAAACATATTTTCACCAACCTAAATTTCTTGAATTTCTCTTTTAGAGCAGCTTTAGCTTTACTTTGACAGACTGATACAGGAACTGTCTGTTCCCTCGACCCCCTTCTGTTCCCTCAACCCCCTTCGGCCCCTACCCAGTTCCCCCTATTATTAAAACCTTGCCTCAGTATGGCACATTTGTTACAACTGATAAAACAATACTAGTAATTAAACCCCACAGTTACATTAGGGCTCAGGGTTTGTGCTTTTACACATTCTGTGAGTTTTGACAAATGCATAATGACATATATTCCCTTATTAGATCAATCACACTGATAAGTTTTAACACTAAAGAAGAAAATGGATGTGCAGAGATGGAGAGAAGGTCAAGGAAGCTGCGAGTCAGCAGACTTGGTGCAGCAGAGTGCAGTTTGACAGAAGAGAGGAGATGGTGCAAGCAACCTCCGAGTGTCACCATTTACCAACCATGCGCCCATCCAGGCAACGACCCACTTACATCCAAAAGCTCCAGTTCCATGTAACATAGAGAAGGAAAATACTTCTGGTCAGTGTCCCCACTGTGTCTTACATTACCTCCTTGTAACCCATAAAGCATCCTGTTGATGTGCCATTATCCCATTTGTTGTTTTCAATAGCCAACTCATACCTTTTTTACTCAATTAAGGCTTTTTCCTTCCTCCTCTGCTTCCCCTTTCTCAAAATTTCCTCTCCAACTTTATTTCTCTACATAAGTGAGTCTGTCTCAGCTTAAGCCAGATAATATGCACTTTTTCAGAAAGAATGAAATGCAAATCACATCTCTGATTCTTTGTAATTATTCACATTGTAACCCCACCTTCTTGTATTAGTCCCACTGGCAGGAGAGACAGTACTGCATTTTGAGCTTTCTGGGGCTTCTGTTCCTGGAATAGAGACCTCAATTGTCCTCTTTCCTCCTTCTAGAATATAAAAATATTAATTTCATTACCTTTCATTAAAATAAAATTTTAACAATTTCTGCCTTATTGTAAATTCACATTATAAATTTGGTGGTTTTTTTCTATATTTTTATCAGTATGTCCCACATATACACTTGAATCTTTGTAGAAGTGAACTGTGAGACAATAAGTTTCAGTTACTAGTGTCAATTCAGTAGCATGCCAGTTCCTAGAAAAGCAGCATCTTTAGATGCTGTCATGTGAAATCTGGAAGGGAAAAATAAAAATTAAGAGATAGTCCCCCAAAACTTGAGATATTTTGTCAAAGGCAGATTATTTAAGGTTTTCCAAAAAAAAAAAGGTGGGGGGGAAGACATTTTCTGAAATCATTCAGTAAAATTTTGTCTTCTAAATTTATCCCACTACTATTTGTTATGAAGGAATTAAATTAGCAAAGTTTGCTGACAAGTTCATATGGTCATTGGCAAATAAAAGCATGTTCATTTGTAGTACTTTGGAAGTAGACAATAATCAACAAATATCTACTCAGCATCTGCTAGGGAGAGACTTCATGTCTATCCCAGGTGGTTTCACACTGGCTCCTATGAATCACTACTTAAAACCTGTGGTTTTCAGGTTTCAGGGATAATGAAACCCTATTTAATTCTATAAAACATTCCTCAGTTACCTTAGAAAACAAAAGCAGTTTTGAATAGCAAGTGATCTGTTTTTACTATTATAGCCCAGCGGTTCCTGTGAATTTAAGAATACACTAGTGAATTTCAGACAAATCATTTAAACTCTGTGCCTCAGTTTATTTATGATAAACTGTTTTATGAAATCAGTGCTGTGTGTTCTCAGGATCTGAAGGAGACTAAATGAAGTAACAGTAATGAAAGTATTTTTTTTTAATGAAAGTATTTTTAACCTTAACATACAACTGAAATAGCTGTCTCATTTAATCACAAATTTATTTTGAGACTGTACCTTCTTTTATTTATTTATTTTTTTCTTTGCACTTAGCACTGACATTTCATATATTTACTTGCTTAATGGTTTACTATCTGCTCTCCAGCTTGAATACTGGAGTGGTCAAGTGGGAAGGGACTTGTCCTCCATGGTAGCCGCAGTGCTCAGACAAGGCAGGTCACAGTGGGTATTCATGTTTTATTTCATATATTCATTCTAATCAGAAGCTGCCTCTGACTTCATTAAAAAAATAGTGAACAAAGTGTTCACTGAAGAAGCCTAGAATAAACAAATAGAAGATTCCCAGGAAAATGCATTATCTGTCACTTTCCACTCATTTCCAAGAATCTGCTTTCTGTGTCTGTTCTTAAAAATAAAAAAGCATTTCTAAGAGAAAAAGTTTTATTGACAGAACTTAAAAGTAACCCACTTCAAGGAGCCAGAGGACATATGAATCTATAACATCAATGTTTGAACTTCTCAAGGAAGCATACAACTTAATGTTACAGAGCTTGTTCTACACCAAATAATCAGAATCTTTCATTGACTGGGCCAAAAGGTCCTCTATAACCTTCATGCAATTCAATTCAATTCTGGCTAAAAAAGCAACTTGAGATCTACTTCATTTCATCAGTACCTTTTGAATGTGAACACTATGACAGCTAGTTTCTAGTTACTATTCTACTTAGAATCCCTTCTATCTTTACACATTCCTAAATGTGCCCATGGAAAGTTTAGCTTACAAATGAAAATGTTACAATGGTTATAACAGAATAACTTGAAATCTGTTGCTGATGAAATTTTAAATTATGGTTTTGAATGTCTATATTGTATAATTAGCCACAGCATATATCCTAGCAAATAATACACTGCCGTGAATACCATTTACGTGGCAGGCAACCTAGGAACCCCAACACCAAGATTAACTACAGGCATCATGGGATCCCTTTCTATCAGGAGACTGGCCTTCTAGTCGTTTCTTTCACTTACTCTGTGTTTATGTCTATTTCTTTCTGTGCAAAATTGGCACTACTGAGCTATATGCTGCCTGAGATTTCTTTTAGCTCAAAATAAAAAGAAAGTGAAAACATTTATACATCTTTGAAATCATCTGTGACCAACCTGTCCATGCTCTGAGAGGTGACTGAACAGATGATGGCAGTGAAGAGGAGGGACCCAAACCAATAAGCTTCTGCTGCTCTATTAATTGCAAGAGTTTTCCACGAGCCTCCATACTCTGCCGATTCAATTCTGCAATCCGTTCCTCCATGCTATTTGGTGTTAGAGTTTGTGCTGCTGGAAATGTCTTTTTTTAAAAAAGGCAAAAACTCCATATCAAAAATAATCCAAACAGTTTTCACTTTTCATAAAAATAAAATCTTCCGGTAAGAGTCAACAACTTGCAGTGTCGATTTGAATAGTGGACAAAAAATAGAAATTTACAACCATTTTTAATTGAAAAATTAGACCTTAAGTTTTTAAAAGGATACTAATCCTTCTAATACTGGTGCCTCCAATATTAAAATCATGGAAAGAATCTGCAGAACAAAGCTGTCCTGCGTCTCTTTGTGTTTGCTGAACTGATAAAAAGATTACAGGAACAAGAAACTACTCCAAATGACCTGGTTTCTAAGTAACACACCTATTAATGACAGATCTAGGTTTGAGTCATACAATAGAGGCTCTACTGGAGTGGAAACAGATATTCTAAAATTATAATCATCATGCATGCACTATGAGTTAATTAACAAAGATTTCTAGGAAGCTTATCTAACAATGTGTCACCCTCCTTAAGACATTTCAGTCTAAGATATCTTATTCAAGACAGTAGGTATCTGGAAAGTAATAGAAGATAAAGTAAAAAAAAGCCATCTGAAAAACAGAACAGTCTTTCATTTGACTGACTGCTTTGGCCACATACAGGAATCTTTTTCTTCTCAAGCTTAGTGAGGTATACAATCAGTTTATATAAAAATAAGATCAAATTTAAAGCTTCACCCAAAGTAGGATTCTGATGTTATTAAAAAAATCAATGAATTAAGACCTCAAGAGAGCTAAAACCAGTGGTCTTACTACCTTACACCACCTCACTCCCCAGTCCCCTGGAGGGCATGTGAAACTGGGCTCAGTGGGCCCCATCCTCAGTTTGTGATTCAGGAGGGCTGGGATGCACTGAGTCTGAGTTTCCAGCAAGTTCGCAGGGTTGATGCTCTGGGCCAGGAACCGAGTTCCTGTAAGTTCACTGCCTAAAACACCTATAGAAACTAAGCACGAGCCGCTATGTTCAGCAGCACACAGCACAGCTCTTTCAGCCACCCCACTGAAAGGCATTTCCTTGTCAACTCTTAGCAGATACTCACAGCACTCGTACTGCTTGCGTGACTTGCCTCCTGCTTGTTCAGTTCCTGAAATCCATCCCCTTGGTCTCCCCCTGGTGCAATAACATTGCTCAGATGTGCCTTGAAAGCTGAATTCTGTAGTGTCAACTCAGCAATCCTTGCCATGATGTCTTTTCTTTGTGCTAATGTCTCATTTGCTCTAACTGGCTGCCCATCTCCCAATACTGGGTGTTCTTCTGAGAATGCAGGGTTTCTCGAGTTGGTAGTAGAGAGGGGCTGTGAGAGAGTAACAAAAGGAGCTTGCACTTTGTTCTCCAAATCTTCTCCCATATGAGAGACCCTCCACCTCTGCGTGAAGAGACGACTTTCTTCATTTGCATTCTGAGTGTCTGTGGCAATAGGTAAAGTCTTCTTTTCCCAAATTTGTTCTTTCTCAATTATTTCCACAGTTGGAGGAATTCGTGGAGCAGGACGAGTCTGAACAGTCCTCCTCAATACTGTAGATATAATTAAAGCATAGTAAACGTGTATCATTTAGCCATAGACTATACTCATTAATCTCACTAACCATCATAATAAAAGTCTGGTGCTGACTCAGTTTACATTTCTTAAATGCTATGGGTAACCAGACGGTCCAGTTATGGAAGTGGAGAGAGTAGTAAGCAATTTTGTAATCTAGAAGAAAGATAATGGCAGCTTTGACTAAAATATGCTGGCTCTAAAAATAGAGAGAAGTAAAAAAAATTGAGGCATATTTTGGCAATGGAACTGCGAGTGCTCTACTGGAAGTGGTAAGAGAAGGAGAAACACAAGTCAAGATGACACACAACTGAGTGACAGAGGTGTCATTTACTGAGATGGAGAACATGAAAAAGAACACATTTGGGGGAAGGGAAGTAATCAAGAATTCAATTTTGAATGTAAATTTGCTGTGTCTTATGATTCATCCATATACCCATTCAAGCAGATAGGCAGGTAGGCCAGAAACTCAAGAGAGACATGCAGTCACCAACACAGAGAAGGAATTGAAAGCCATAAGTTCATCTAGAAAGAATAAAGAATAGAGTACAGGAAGAATCAACATTTAGAGTCAGATTAATGAGGGAAGCTAGCAAAGCAGACTGAAATGGAGAAGCTGGAATGAGAAGAGAAGTAATATAAGGATGTGGTATCAAGGAAACAGCAATATGTACTTCTATATGAGCTAGGGATGTAAGGACAGCAAAGTGTACTTAGCAGGCTGGCCTTTGGAGCCCTCAGATGACCTTATTGGGAACAAAGTGGGAGACAGATGCATTTAGTTCAAGACTCCAGACTGAACACACATTCATCTCACCTTTCACTGACAGCAAATATATATATATAAACTCGCTTCAGTCAAGATAATGGTCTGGAAATGAGGCAAGTAAGACATGTAACATGTTTCTAGAAGACTGAGAGTAGATGGGGAGTATACAGGAGAATGAAACTGAGCAGAAGCCACAGTCAGAGTATGTATATGTCACAAGAAAGTAAAAGGCAAAAGTCAGTCTTTCTGAGGAACTCTGACAGGTACAGAGGGAGAAAATGAGAAGCAGGACTGAAGACTAGGCATTACCTTTAAGTTTGTCTATTATTCAGTTATGTAAGTCAAGCTGTTGCTCACCCCTTCCCCTACCCATCCGCAAAAGCAAAAAGCAGAGTTGGGAAGAACAAATTTGAAAGAAATGTGTAGTTAACATCAAGTACATATCCACAAGCCAAGTTCTTACAGGAAAGTCTATCAGAAAGGCAAACTTAGTGTTACACATATCACAGAAGAGAAAACTACATCAGCTACTAAGTCACTTATTCTTAAATAATAATAGACAATAAAGGATCACCAGACATAGGAGGAAAACCACCAGCACAAAGAGTAACACCAAACAGAAAATAAAATGAAGGTTATAGCTCTAGAAAAAATCATTTAGATATAAATAATTTGCAATGCAAATAAATAGTTTTCCAAACAATGAAGCAACTTCTGAAAACCATCCATAAACCCCAAAGTGCAGAATCTCTGAGTTAAGGATTAAAAATAATTTTTTTTCATTTATTCAAAATATATATGCAGCACATATATATGTGCACATATATATGTGCTGCAAAAGTGACTCTAAGGCTTCTTTTTTTAAGTTGAGGTTTACTGCTTTGCATCGCTGTGCCTTAGAGGCACAGGATCTTCCCCTTCAAGTGTTGCTGCCACACTGCACCAGCCACCAAAGCACCATAGTCCTCCACCATGGTCCACTGTGTCCCCTCCTCACCTTGCTCACAGCCCTTCCCCTCTGGTAGCCTCAGTTCTATAGTCAGTTTTCTAGGGTTTGTTCCTAGTTTGGCTTCTAAAGCCATTTTTAATTGTGCATCACCTTTCATGATAAAATGTCCTTAACTGAAATAAAACCTTTGATGAGAAGAGGTTAATAACCAGATCCATCTTACCAAATCCTTACTGCCACAGTTCTTACCATTTCTTGTCTCAACTTCCATTAGTAGCTGCAGTATATGCTCCCATTGTATCTTATCCTTTCCTATGCCCCGATGATTGAAAAGAAAGGGATGCATGCCGCTTGCTCTGTAATTCAGTGGTGAGGACTTTAGTCCTTTGATCTGAATTTAATATTTACAATATCTAATGGAACAGATACATAATGAAATCCAATGGTACATTTCCCCATAGGCCTAGTATAGCACAAACAACACAGACCACCCTGAAAAATCCTCCTTGAAGGTTTTTGATAATAAACAGTATCTTTCCAAATTTTGTTTGGTAGCAATGAACACAATTCACCACAAGTGATGCATAAAAACAAAGGCCACAAACTGCAGGAGAAGCCTGCTCACCATCCTGCAGTGGAGACAATACGGAGTTGCTCTTCTGCCTGGGAGGTGTCAGCAGCACAGCTGGCTCAAATAAATGTCCTGGGAAGGTGCTGGCCAGATTCACGCTCTCTGGCGGGTTTGGCACCTGGGACAGTTTTACAGGCAAGTCTTCCTGTGGGAATTCAGCTACTTCTTCCCCTCTGAACATCAACGGCATGGAGACATTAGCATTTACTGCTGGACCCTCTGGGGAAGAAGAGAGAGAATAGTATTGAAGGAACAATGAACATATTTCAGGTATTTCTACTTAAATGCATTTCTGTAAAGGGCAAAGTCCCACGGCATCCAGAGCCCTCACTGCCTAGATTATGCCCTCCTTTTGCAGCAAGGCTCCTGCAGAACCAGCTCTGGGAAGAAGGTGGTATTTCTGAGAAAAGTCCTTGATGACATGCCTTCATCACTGAGTTAATTTCATGCAAGTTAACATTTACTTACTTCTTAGAATCCCTCATAAGAAAATACTGTTAAATATATAAGGGGCACTCATCAAAGTATTAGTCAGAAAAAAACAAGAAAAGGGAAAAATGTATATGCTCTACAATATGGAGCTTGTTATGGCTCATGCAGTGAAGACGGCTTTAATACCTCACCACAAATGAACAAAAGTATACAGCTCTAAAGCTCATTTTTTCTTTTCTTCCTAAGATCATCTTTTCTGCTTCTAAACATGGATTCAAACCCCTAAAACCATGATTCAAATTCTGTTACTCAGTTTCCACTAGCCTGGGAAGCCAGTTCTGCTATTTTCTATTTGTGTTATCAACCCTCTCTAAGCCTTAGTTTTCTCATCTAAAAAATAGGGGTAACAACAGTACCTATCTCAGAAGACTATTATGAAGATTACATAAGATAATACATATAAAACACTTACAAAGTACCTGGCATAGAGCAAGTATCCAACAAATACTAGCTGAAAACCGTAGTGCCAATAGTAGTAGTAAAATTTCTATACACACATAACAGCCAATAATTCCACGTAAGTTATAGGGTTGTTTACACTCTATTTCAATGCCTATCTGATAAAAATAAGACCACACTCACCAGAATTATCTACAATTCTTCCACTCATGGCCCCTCTTTCTGATGTCTGACTTTCTGTGCTGTTATTTATCACTGGACAGTTCTTAATGGCATGTGTGAGCGATATAAGTTGTTCATCTGTTGTGACCATGTATTGCTGAAGTCTCGCCTAGAGAAAAAGAAGAATGAAAAAAAAATCCTATCAGACATCAGTATCTATATTTAATCATATTATTTTAAATATTCTGGGAATTTCAGGCTTTTATTCAAATACTAAGATAATATAGTCACAGGAAACTTTACAAGAATTTATTTAGAATGTAAGCAAAGTTTTTTTTTTAAAGATTTATTTATTCATGCATACAGGACTGGGGTACAGGCCAGAGGTGCAGGAGGTGAGAGAATTCACCTGAGACAGAGTGGGGAGCAGAACAGTTACAGCGATGAAGTATACTGCTAAGGGGAGCAGCAGGTAAGACAGGAGAGGTCTGATGTGCCATATGGGTCACTTCTCTGGCTGGGGATCGAACTAGTGCTGAAGTGGCTGCAGTTAGCTTCATGGTGCTGTGCTTAACCTGTTGCACCACCAAAGAAGGCGCCCAAAGATTTTCTTTTTAGTCCCTGTACTTAGAACAATGCCAGGTCCACAGTAGGTATTCAATAAAGATTTGTGGGACAAAACACTATATTTTAAAACTGGCCATTTCCCCAGAACTGAAAATATGCTTATGCATACTACCAGTATTAGAGTAGTAGAAGGTACATGAATGTTTGTTGCATTATTCATTCACAGTGCACAAAGAGGAATCAGATGATAAATAGATAAGCAAAATAAAGTATATCTATATAACACAATGTTATATTGGAAGTAATGAACTCTGAAAACATGCTAAGTGGAAGAAGTAACTGAAGACAACATATTGCATGACTCCATCTATACAAAATATTGAGAACAGGCAAATCTATAGAAACAAAGTAGAATTGCAGTTGCCAGAGCTGGGGTAGGAGAGAATAAGAAGCCAGCGCTAATGAGAAAGGCATTTCTCTTTGGAATGATGAAAATATTCAGATGGCAATACTAATATACAATTCAAAGATTATACTGAAAACCACTAAGCTGGTTGGTTTAAAAAGAGGAGGTTAACAATATGTGAGTTATATACAAAATAAGTAAATTACATACTATATATCTAATGTCTATTGACATACACACAAGTTATCTACTAATTGTTCTTTTCAGGTCTCTCTTGGCTGATAAATCAAATAATAAGCACCACTTGAGGAAAAAATGATGAGTAAAACCTTCCTGCCCTCCACAATTCAGTCTTCATATCAAGTTCATATGAAAATTTAACAGTTTGGTAAATGCAGTAAAAGTGGTATCCAAACAGTATCAGATATGCACAAAGGAAAAATACTTAATGTAGCATGGAGGCAACAAGGTTTTCTAGAAGAAAAACTGCTTAACTATTAAAAAAAGAAAGATACATCTCATCTGAATTCTCTGGACAAGATGCAAAGTGGACTTATCTAATAAATAAGATACTCAAATAAAATGTAACACAGAACAGTTCCTCAAAGGGTATTTTCTACTGAGTTGAAATTAAAAGTAACTATCATAACACTGATGTATTATTTTAGATAAATCACAATGGTAGTTTTTAAATGTAGATTCTGTCTTCCCCACTTAATAGTAAATTAAAGATTCCTGTAGCCCCATTTCTACTACTGTACTTCAGTAAATGCTCAATGAGGTTACCACTGATGATAATAAAGAGCTAATAATAACAATAATAAAGAGCACAACTAAACGAAAGCAACTAGAAGGGAACGCCATATATTCCTCAAGATTTTTGTTACTAGTAAACACAGTAAAGTTTGGATCCCACCTGATTACCTGGATAGTAGCATTTTCTTCTCTAAGGAGAATAATTTCAGCTGTCAGAGCATCAATGAGATCACGATGATCGCCTAACACTTGTTCCAACTGCTGTCTGGTCTCTACTTCTTTACGCAGTTGTAGCTCACTCTGCAAAAAACAAATCAAATGAACTCCCACCAGTAGCATTACATGTTAAAAACGAAAAGTTTTTACTCAAGGCTGTCAAAAAGGAATACTTATCTTACCGAGGTAGTAATGGAACTAAGTATTTTTTTTTTAAAGGTTCATACTGCGTTAAGACATAATGCAGTATCACCATACTGCTTTACCTAGCCCTTCCCTTTTTTTTTCTTTATTTTTTACATCATTCTTCTTTTTGTGCATTTCATCTCAGTTGTAAGTACAATAAACAAAACAGCATACGGAATTTAATAACTATAAATTTTGTAGAAGAATGGGGAAGGAACTACATATACATGCTTAAATATACACAGATGATATCTTCAAAGGTATAATGGTATCTGATAGTGATTGTTGGCTAAAAGGAAGAAAAAAGATTAATTAGAAGTTAAGGGTAAGGATTAGTTTTCATTTACAAACCTCTGTATCTTTGAATTCATACCATGTGAAGGTAACACCAATTCAAAAATGAAATTTGTTAAAATATAGTTAAAACAAAAAAAAATTAAATGATTTAACTTTGTTAGATGAGTGATTAAGCTAAAAAGTACATTATCTAAGTCTGAAATTCTTTCAAAAAGCCAAAAGTTAACTCCTAGAGATTACTGATTTAAGGGTAGAAGAATGTTAAAATTGTTATTAAGTCTTACAACAACAAACAAATTTTGCTAAAAAGCAATTTTAAGAAAGGAACTCCAGAAAAAAATGGAAACATCCAAGTAAGTGTAGTCAATCAATTTTTTTAATGGTAAAATTTCCTTAAAAAATAATTTGTTTTAGGGGGCCTCCTTGATGGTGCAAAGACTTAAGTCTCAGCTTTATGAAGCTATATGCAGCCACTGCAGCACAAGTTCGATCCAGCCCAGGAGCTGACCCACATGGCGCAGCATACCTCTCCTGTTTTGCCCACTGCTCCCCTCAGCTGTGTATTTCAGTTGGTCAGCCTGTTCTGCTCCCCACTCTGTCTCTGGAGAATCCTCTCACCACCTGCACTTCTGGTTTACACTCCAGTTCTTGTATGAGTAAGTAAATAAATCTTTTTAAAAAACTTTCATTTTATTACTTTACCAAATTTAATACATAATTCTAATTCATAAAAATAAATGACAGCACAAAGATTTTATAAAAATAAATAATTCCACAGCACTCTAAGAAATGATTATTCACAAATGAATTTTTAAAACAGTTCTTACTTATTTTATAAATTGTTTTTCCAAAATATCTCTATTTGAGACACTGAAGCAAAGCCCAACTTACTAATGATATAGAAAATATGAAGAAGTGAAATAAAGTGGAAGCAAGAGAGTACACTTACTAGTTCCACTTGATCCAAATAATATTTAGTGTTAGGACAAGATTCATAACAGCTTTACCTTATTAATATATTTTACCAAACTCATTTATATCAACATCATTTACGTGAGTAGGTATTTAGATTTCTCAGCACATAGTGGGTAATTAAGAGGATAATCTTCACTGTAGATATCTACAACTGCACTACTTTAAACAAAGCTATTCAAATGATATTTGCTTTGGAAGTCAAATAAATTAAGTATAGAGCACAATAACCCCACACATCTTAGCCAGTACTCTAAAGAGGAGACTGAACAGTCTCACGTTCTTACCTCTTTAAGGTACCGAACCAGACGACAGAGGGAGCTCACCAGCGACAAAGTGAAGCCTGTCAGACCCTTACTGCTCTGCAGCCCCTTGACCTCACGCCCAGTCCACCGCTCATATTCTTCCATTTCATGTTCCACTTCATGTATCATGTGTTTGAGGACATCCAGACTGGGATTACTGATACCTGGGTCTGTGGAGGCCATGCTAGCTGATAACGTATTTTTCTTCTGCTTGGAAGGATCATGCAAATCCGGTTTTCTTTTCACTGATAATGACAGTTATTCTATTTTAGAGCCAGGAAAAATGATACAAGAAAACTACTAGAAAAACCTTTGATTGTTGTTCACAATTTGTAGATGACTTTATACCATTTTTCTCATAAAAGTACTGTACAATGTAAATCAGCTTTACACTGCCTATAATGAATGTGTTAGAATCATCCTTCTACAATGTTACATAGGATAAAAGAAGATATTTCTTAGCAACCATTCAATAAACTCTTGTTGAGGTGGATTCAACTGGGTGAATATATAAGGGAGAAAACATTAGTAAGAGAGTTAAGACAGGTGTATAAAATGTTTAATAATTCAGTTCTGTAAATTAAAAGACTGTACCTGTACATAACGATTGTTTTTGTTTCCTTGAGTTCAGCACCTGTCCCACAATGTAGCTTGAGTCTAGAGTCTCAGAAGAATCTTCAGACTGAAGCCTTGTGTGGACTCTCTTGACGGCATTGGTGGCATTCAGAGCAGCTGAAAGGAAAAATAGTCCCAAAAGGATCTCAACAATATACAGGAAAATATTTTAAAACATATTGACAGATCAATCAGTATTTTACTCAAATTGCTGAAGACAAATAACATTTCTTTCAAAATTAGCATGTTTAAGATAGAACTTAATACAAATTACTACTTGTGTGAAATAATACAATGAGAGAATAAACCTTTTTGTTCCCCTGGTGGAGAGGCAGATGATGGCATTCCTGGAGAGTTTGTTACTTGTGACTGTGTTGCTATTTTCTGCTGAATATCAGTCCACAGTTTATTAATTAACTCAGAATTATCTTCCTTTAGTTGATGGAGAAGCCTATAAGTTAGGGAACAAGCTATATGAGAATTCATAAACGCTACCACTTAAACTGTTCAACTGCTCACATATTTGATCTGAATGAACCTCTAATAAATCAAAGAAAAAATATACTTCGCTTTATACTTTGTATAAAATAAGAGCAAAATCATTTTGCCCTTTATACAGCTTAATGATATAGGCTTCCCTCTCCTTGTTTTCTCAAGGGAAAGGACATAGCTTGGTCCCTTATGTCTTTTCTCTCCTAAAAAGTAGCCTAGCCTCAGAGCTGTCACCTGTCATCATGGAAGTCATGAGTGGAACATGACTTGTCTTGTGTAACGGAGCAAGGAGAGAAAGAGAAGAGCGAGCTGATCTCCAAATGTCTGACTCATTTGTCTAGTTCTCAGTAAAACTGAGATTTAAAAGAAATACAAGATCAGGGCCCTCTGTTTTGGTGCAACAGCTGCCTCAGTGCAAGTTCAATTCCCACCTTGGAGGTGATCCACATGGCACAGCAGACCTCTCCTTGATCTGCCTGTTCTGTTCCCCACTCTGTTTCTGGTGAATCCCTCACCGCCCCTGCATCTCTCACCTGTACCCCAGTTCTGTATGCATAAATAAATAAATATTTTTTAAAAAAAGCGAGAAATACAAAATCAGAAAGAAAAAATTCAAACATCCACCAGCTGATGAATGGATATACAAAATAACCATACAATGGAATATTACTGAGCCATAAAAAGAATGAATATATGCTACAACATGCATGAATCTCAACATCATGCTAAGTGAAAGATATGAGGCATAAATGATCACATATTGTGATTATCTGTATAAAATATCCAAAACAGGCAAAGCTACAAAGATAGAAAATAGATTAATAGCTATGGCTGAAGGGCTTGGGAGGAAATGGGGGTCACCATTAATGAGTAGTGGGTTTCTTCTGGGCATAACAGAAATTATAAAATTCATTTTAGGTTGCACAACTATTTAAATTATAATGGGTGGGTTTTATGGCATGTGAACTATAATTCAATAAAACTGTACCCCCCCCAAAAAAAAAGAAGAAGAAAAAACAGAAGGGGAAATTTTATTGAATGACTCCATCGTGGGTTTAAGAATGGCCCACACACACAAAAAAAACACAAAACTTAATCCTTGGAACTTATGAATGATATCTTAATGGATTAAAAAGGAACTTTGATGTGATCAAGTTAAGGGTCTTAAAATAAGGATATGATCTTGAAATATAAGGGTGGACCCTAACTGCAATCATATATATTCTGATAAGCAGGAGCCAGAGAAAGATCTGACAACACACACACAGGAGAAGGCAATATGGCGACGGACACAGTATTGGAATGATGTGGACACAAACCAAAAAATGCCATCATCTGGCAAAGAAAAGGACATCATTGTTACCCTGCTAACACAATGATTTTGGTCTAATGAAAGTGATTTCAGATTTCTGGCCATCAAAACTGCAAAAGAATAAACTTCTGTTGTTTTAAGCCACCAACTTTGCGGTACTATATTAAAGCAGACCCAGAAAAATAATACAGATTTTGGTGTCTACATGTGAGATATTTGTATAGCAAATGCCTAAAAATGTAGAAATAGCTACAGAATGGGATAATTGAGAGAATTTGTAGGCGAATGGCAGAGAAAGCCTACACTGCCTTAAACAGACTTGGCGGAAATATGGATGCTAAAGACACCCAGTGGGGGCTCAAAGGAAGTGAGGAGCACAGTAGAGAAATCACGTGTCATTTTAAAGGGTAACAATCATTGTGGATGGTATACTAATAGAAATATGAATATTAAAGAAGTTTCCAGTGAGGGCTCAGAAGGAAATGATGAGCAAGTCATTAGAAACTGAAAGAAAGGGAATCCTTCTTATAAAGTGGCAGAAAACTTGGCTTAGTTGTATGGAAAGAAGAACTTGCAAGCAAAGAACTTAGATATCTATTTCCAAGCAAAACTGTTGATAATGCATCCAACTTTCTTGTTGCTCCTCAGAGTGAAATACAAGGGGAAAGAAAAAAATGAAGGAAGAACAGTTGAGCAAAAAAGAATCAAGACTGGGTCATTTGAAAAAATATTAACCTTTCCAACTGAAAAAAAAAATGCTCAAATTAAGAACCACTGCTAGGAAAAGCAAACTCTAGAGAGAGATGAGCAAGTATGTGGCTTGGAAAATGTTTTGCCAATTTGTAAAGATTGGGTATCTAACTCAGGGATTCCCTCAGTGACCTCAGCAGAAGCCAGCGATTAAGTTGGGATTATCCAGGAAAGATCTGGGGAGCGCCTCTTATCACATGGCATGCACAAGGAGACCTGTTAGGCCCTTTGAGGGCAAATAAATACTGCCCTCTTGGACAGAGATAGGATGACAAAGGACATATATCAGACTCCCCAAATTTCACATATGGTAAAAGGGAGATAAAATTACTCAGATACAAACATGAGCTTTAAGGAAAAGAAAATGTCTTCAAGACCACACCTGCAGGATTAGAGCTCAAAACTACAGATTCAGAGGCCAAGATCAGAGCTACAGGTACAAAGGACAGAGTCACAGATTCAGATGGTGGAACCTTGAGCCCTAAAGGATTATTATCAGGTCTTGAAACCTAATGGACTTGCCCCTCAGTGTCAAAATTGAATACAACCCTTAGCCTCCTTTTATTTTCTCACTTCTAAAATGGAATGTATGTAATTATTACTCTATGCTTCTTCAATCAGCGTATTTTGATAACAAAAACTTGCTTTCTAATTTCATTATATCCAAAGATGCATCACATCCAAAGCCTTACCCATATCTGATTGGGACAATGAGATCTGACTTCAGCTGATGGTACTTAGATAATATTTTAAACTCAAGCTGATGCTGAAACACGTGAATACTAAAATAGGGCAGATGTGAATTTTGCATGGGGACCAGTGGTTGGACATTGGTAGGCTAAATAGTCTTTTCTGGACATCTGTCCATAATCTAATTCCTGGAACCTCTAATTGGCCATAAGAGGATGTTTGCAGAAGTGATTAAGTTAAGGAACTTACAATAGTGAGGTTATCTTAGGTAGGCCCTAGCAGAAATTGTGCACGTCCTCACCAAAGAGAGGAAGATTCTGGCACACACACGGAGGTGATGTGAGGACGGAGGCAGAGACTGGAGTGACACAGCCAAGAAAGACCAACAGCCTCTTGAAGCTGGAAGAGGCAGAGGAATAGATACTTCTCAGGCCTGCGCAGTGACTGTGGTTGTGCCAACACCTTAAACTTTAATCCAGTGAAACTAACTTCAGATTTCTGGCATCCACAACTGTAAGAGACTAAATGCCTGTTGTTCTCAGCTAACAAGTTTATAGACATTTGTTACAGCAATTCCAGGAAACTAATATACCACTTGAACTTTTGGGGCAACTTTCAGTTTAAAAGTTCAAAGCACTGTCTATGTATTATTTTTGAAATATGAGGGGAAAAGAAAAGATTTACAATAAAGTATCTCCATCTGAAAGAAATAAACTCTCTTAAATCTGGAACTCTATTTTATTCATTTTGTTTACTTAGAGCAGTGATTCAAATTCAAATCCAGGCTTCTTTTATCTTCAATGAAGAACACATATCATTGCCGATTCTGTTTATGGCACATCAACTGCAGTAGCATTCTAAGGACAATATTTCATAGATAGCTTAGGAATATCTGTAGCTCTAATTTATATACTGACAAAAACACACAACCCGAAGTATGTTCTCACTGGGAATGCAATGACTCTCCCCTCCCTCCCCCCAGAAACATCAGTGACCCAGTAGAGAGAGGCTTTTGAGGATTAGTTAAGAATATATTCATCATGTTTAATATTATCTCTATGAGAAATCTATTCAGTGCTTACAAGAACATGGATTCACAGAAATTTCAAACAAAAAGGCAACTAAAAATACTATATTCAGTGCTCAAATTTTACAACAGAGGAAATAAAGGCCCGCAGTTTATCAGCTAGTAAATAACCAAGGGCTTTGTCTCTAAAGTCCAGTCTAATATTAGTATCTTCCAAAGTCCCATGCCCCATAGTTAACAAATAACATATTAAGACATAAGGTACTCTTAAGTTGGAAACTGCCTGTTAGTACAACTAACAAGATAAAACTAAACTTAACCAAGCAAATAATAAAGATGTGAGTAAAGTGCAAAGAACAAAAGCAATAATGTACAAGATTAATTATATTCAGGTTCTGAAAGAAAGTGTGCTTATGATACATGTTTCAGGTATTCCTAAGAAAATTGTGGCCACCTAACCTGAATCACTCTATGTAGCCTCCAAAATAGGATCATGTTGTACAAAAAGGAGCAAGTAAGACAGTACATGACCCATATCTTACACATTACATTACTTAAGATAGCATTACTAAATTTCAAATGACCCATAAATAGAAAGATAAAAACCAAAATCATGCAAAGGTAATTTTGAGTTCCTATTAGGAGCCTTGGCAAAGAGTGGGAGTAGTTCAAGATGACTGTGGAAAAGACAAGGAAAGCAAAGAGCCTAATGATTACAAAAATCACCCAGTGAAAGAAAAAGTTCACGTTAAGTATGCCTACACACACAAAACCTGGCTGACCAGACGTTTTAAAAGCAACAGTCAAAGCAAACCAAGAGGGGAGCAGCGTTTTCAAGAAAGTTAAGGAAACACAGTGTGAACCAAAGATTTTATATTTGCCAAGTCCTTAAACTATCAATACTGTTTTTTAAAAAAAACTTTTAAACTTTCAAGAACTCAGGGAATACTATTATTACAGACTCCACAGCATAAATTCTATAGATTAATGATTTTGAAAGATCTGATCAAGAGTTCAAAAGAACAGTGGGGGGAGGGAAATGCACTGGACTATGGTGATGACACACGGGTGATTTGATGATGGAAGCTCGGGGGATTACAACTGAGATGGAAAAATGCACAGAATGTTTTAGAACTTCCTAAATTCAAAAATATAGTTTAAGACAGAACAGAGAAAACTTACCATAAAGAGAAGGAAAATAGGTGATGTGATATACATATAATTAAAGATCAGATATATAAAATGGAATGTTATATAGGCCTGAGAAAAAAGGAAACTCTGAAGAGTTTATTGCAACAATATAGCCAAGATATGAAAACAAAGTGGGTGTCTGTTGATGGATGAATGAATAAAGATGTACTAAAGAGAAAAAGAAAAAGAGAAAGAGAAATGGCTTGACAAAAAGGGGAAACACTGTAGATATTTATGTCATGTATGTATACATCTGTTCTCTGTCATTTTAGACTGAGAATTTATATATACATAATGGAATATTAACCAGCTATGAAAAAGAAGGAAATCCTGCCATTTATGAAAACATGGAAGAAACATGGAAGAAACCTTAGGGCATTATGAGATGATATGAGACAAAGAAGAATAATCACTGTGCTGTTCATGTGTGTGATTGAAAAAAAAAAACAAACTCATAGAAACAGTAAAATGATGGTTACCAAGGGCTACCAGGTGATGGTAAAACACTTCCAATTATAAGAATAATTTCTGGTGGTCTAATGACAGCATGGTAATTATAGCTAATGATATTGCATTATATACTTGAAAATTGCTAAGTGAGAAAATCTCAAATGTTGTCATCACCAAAAAGAAATAGTAATTAGATGATATAATAGCTGTATAAAGTAGCACTATGGTGGAAATCACTTTATAATATATGCATGTTGCACACCTTATATAACATTATATGTCAATTATATCTAAAAAAAGCTGAGGAGGAAAAAAATGGTCTTGGGATAAAGGGAAATACTGTAGATATTTATTCAATATATGCATACCTGTCTGTAGTCATGTTAGACTGAGAGTTCAGTGAGTTATCTAATTCATTCTCACTGTCTTCTGACTGGCTGTGAACAGTTCCTTCTTCTTCATGACCATCTACTTCATTAAGAGCCTTTTACAACATAATAAAAAATAACACCTAAGTTGTTTATATACCCACTACTCACTCTTACTTTCTCTTTATCCTAACAAAAGAGAGACCCCTCCTTCTGACTAATCCCTCCACATATATTCTGGAATCCAACCTCAACTCGTTCTACTCCATCAATTATCTCTGTTCTTGTCTGTATCTCCAAGCTTCCCTTTGTATTGGCTTCAACTCATCCATTTTGAAAGGCAAGCAAGCAAGTCTCTCCCATCCTACCCTGACCTTAAACCTCTTTCAAGCTACTACCTACCTATCTTCTCTCTTTTACCACCAAACTTCCCAAAAGAGATGTCCCCCCCCCCCAGTTCTAATCATTAACCATGTGCTGTAACTTTGCTTCTGTTCTGTCACTCCACTCAAACTGCTTTCTACAAGGTCAGGATCAAAACATTTGTTGCTAAACTAAATGGATATTTCTCAGTTTTTGCCTTCCCTATCTAGTTTAGTACAATCATTAGTCACAGAAGGGCAAAGTGCCTGAGTAACTCTAGCAACCACAACTTGGTATCTGTTGATATTTAAATTTCTGAAATGTTCACTACAAAGTTGGCATCAATTTAAACTTCAGCAAGAGTATTAAGGCTATAAGCAAACTGTATTACCTGAGGCTCTGTGTCAGATTCAGTAAAGATGGACTGAGTAACAGGGTCCTGATTTACCATAATGGGACCTTGTGAGGAATTGGGAGCCATGGTTACATTTGGAAATCCTGCAGAAGGGAAAGTAAGTCATGGTGATTCAGTTTCACATAATTAAACTTTCACAAGCACAACACACTTGCCATCATATGGAAATCTCAGATAATAATGATAACAACAGCAACCATAGTAATAAAAGAGCTCAAATTTACATAGTGCATATTATACACCAGCCACAATTCTAAATGCTTTTACAAAATCCGAAGAGTTATTACTACTACTATCTGACAGACCAATGAACAAAAATTCAGACAGCAAACAACTGACCCAGAATCACACTAGTAAGGGTCGAGCCAGGATACAAACCGTAAACTACAACTAATAATCTGATTCTAGCAATTAAAATGCACCGTGGATTATATATACAGTTCAGTGAAAAATGCAATGTATCTAACAAGAGGCAAAGTTCCTATTACAGAGACTGAAGTTGTTTTAGGTTTCAAATTAAGCTTAATTCTGTGCTTTATTAGCATAGATACTTTATATGATATTAACAAACTGAAAATTAGGACACATTTTATATTATAAAATCTTGTATACTGAGCCATAAAATATTTTAGTAAATAATAGCACTTTACCTTTCCTTAGCTGAGTTATTTGTAATTGTTAATACTCTTGAGTAAAAATGAAACAAATTATGATGAACCTTTATTTACAACTCTTGTATGTTACTCACTTGAGGCTTGTAATATAAAAAATAGCACCTGAAAAAATTTCAAATTCTTCCAATAGCCATTTGTGAGCTAAAATAAGAAAAAGCTGTTGAATTGAATACCTGTGCGCCTACGAGGAAAATCAACAAACAGATCTTTTGTTGCAGCCATCAAATGATCAGATTTTTCCAATACATCCTGCATCTGGTATTGATCAAAAAGAATCTAGACACATATTAATGACAAGTATTATTATTCAGGGAAAATGACATATATGCTTATCAAATCACAATGGAAACATTCATACAAAGATATGGAACATAAAAATAACCACAAGTGACAGAATACTTTCCTAAAGTCCTTCAGTGACAATATTCTTAAGGGCCAGGAGATGGGGCTGTTATTAATTCTACTACTACTACTACTACTATCACCACTACCACTACTTCTACTATTACTGATTTCAAAAGCTTGGCTTCAATCCAAACAAAAACAGTATTTAATTATGGCCCAGTACATATGAAAATGTAAATATAAAACAAAAATGTAAATACACATCCTTATGCTTGAAGAGCCACTCCAATGTTTTCTTTTTAGTTTCCATTCTATTTTTTTAAAATGTTGGTTGCAACCCACTTACTTGATTTCACAATTCATTAACAAGTTGTAGTCCACAGTTTGAAAACATTGATTGAAAACATGAATCTTTGAGTCATAAACTTGACGGTGTGAATTTTTGAGTCACAAAAGAGAGATATTTCAAGCACTAAAGTGATTTCATGATCTACTGCTTGGTTATGGCCCACAACTTAAAGAACATTATATAAGATAGCAATTTGGGGGCATTAAACAAACAAACAAAAAAAGTGGTAACATCTGTGTATATAAACAAATTGAGTTTTTATCCAAAGAGATAACTAAAAAAAAAATTACAATTGTGCCTGATTATGCACTTTCAACTGAGAAACTTTCATAATTACAAACAAGAACACACAAGCTAGAGAAAAGGCAAGCTAACTCTACCTACTACCACCAGATGGCAATCTTAAATTAAAAGGAGTCTCAAAACAGGAGACAACCCAGTGACCAGCACTGAATCAAAACAATAAAAAAGTGGTAAATAAACACTTTTAGCAGAATTTCTCTTGACCATGGAAACAATATATAATATGACCTCACTTATTGTTTTAAGACATGGAGAAAAATAACAAGTCACATTCTGACATTTCCTCTTCTTCCCTCAGATCCAGGTTGTTACAAGCAGGTTTGCTGGCTCAGTTGGTAAGAATGAAGTACTGAATTTGTTCCTTTCACAAAAAGTAAGTTTTAGAATAGTAAAGCACCTTTGAAGGCAGAAGACTGAGACTTTGGCCAATCAGAGTAAGGAGTTATTAAACAAAATCCAAGTTCTTTAGTTTCATGACATATAAAGACGTGACTACCTCACTAATGCTATAGGGCCGTTATAAGGATGTGCACACATGAAAAACATCTAAGCCAGTATCAAGGTATTCCAAAATATTACTTATCTTAAGTTATCCCATGAGTCAAATGTCTATCCTTGGCTAGTCATCTCACGAGTACACACACTAACACTTAGGAAAAAAGTAAATGGATGGAGCACTGTAACCTATCACTTACACTAGAAAAATACACAAAGAATATTTCCTATTTAAAAAAAATAACAAAAAGCACTGATGTTCTATCAAAATAAAGAGATGTAAATAACAAAAAGATTGTGGGGAGAGTATTTAATCTTATCAAAACCTGATAGGAATCATAGAGGCTCCAGAAAAGCCGGCATCTGCTGCCCTCTGAATATCTGCTCGAGCGCCTTGGGAGAGATGGTTTGAGAGGCCAGGTATCAGTAGTATACTGGCTTGCTTTTGCTCTTTCTAGATTTGTTACTCAGATAAAATGCCTCCTCTTGACAGGTAAACCAATTTCTGCAAGCCACTAGAAACACTGCTTCCCCAGATGGGTTTGCAAAGCACAAAGCAAAATATATGAGTGGCAGTATATCCTGGCCCCTCAAAGGATCAATCAAAGGCCCTCCAAAACCAGTAAGAGAAATTTCCTGTCTAGCACATGTTTCATGGTAACAAAACCCAGATTGAAATGGAAAGCTTCCCCATATCTAAATTGATTCTGGACCTTTATCTGTTTGATTCCATGATATGAGTTTACCATATAGCCAAAGAAACTTAAGATTATGCTGACTAAAGAGCTTTTTTTTTTTTTTTAAAGTTTATGTTTATCTAGAAGCCCTACTTGTGGAGGAAGAGTCCTGGTAAGTCTAATACATAGCAATAAAGACTAGAAAGATATGCCAAAATAGACTTCTTAGGTCCAGTCACAAAACTTTTAGCCACACTGAAATAATAGATGCATATTTTCTAACTCTATGATTTCACCTTTAAGAACTTATCTTACATATAGGGTACCCAAACACATACATGAAGATACTTATCACATTTGCTGTGCCAAGACAGGAAATAATCTGTGGGTGGAAGGCAAAGTCATTTATCTAGCAAAATACCTTTTTTCCATTATCCCTTTTAAGAGAATTCCCAATTTTGACCAAGTCCACAGGTAGTTTTCCCAACCATCTTTGCAAATGGGAGTGAGTGGTCATGAGATGAATTTCAGGTGAGTGGGACAGAAGCCCCAAATTCTGGGTGGTATTAAAAGCAGCATACTCTCTTTCATTCCTAGCCAGCTGGGCTACAACTAAGGGAAGCTGGAACAGTGATCTGTATGCAAAGGCGAAGTCCTGTGATGAAGTACTGCAGAGGATGTACCAACTACCATTGACCATTTCACAAAAGAGAAACAGATTTCTATTTTGTTTGAACCACTATCTGTTGGACTCTTTTCCCAGACGTTTAAGCTGTACTCAAATACACCTTCAAAATGTCTATTAATAAAGGACTATATAAATAATAACACATCTATATACTTACCTGATCATTAAAAAGAAAAGGTAAATTTCTAAATACTAATATGTAATAACTCTCAAGATATATGTTAAATGGAAACCCTGATTCTTCTAACAGCAGTTTCCCAATCCTGACAGCATATGTAAATTACATAGGAATAGCCTAAAAAGTTCTTAAAGTGGGCCCATATCCCAGACCTACTAATACAGTATATCTGAATATAGATATATTTGGATAGAGTGTTCTGCCTTTTTTTTTTTTAATGGAAGTTCTCAACCCTGACTGCTTCTATTGTGCAGTTGAAAGCCACTTTTACTAAGAAGAGAGTGGAGGGACATACTCAACAAACTCGAAAGCAACCAAGAATACTCTACCCTGTGAAGCTCTCCTTCCTCTATGAAGAATATAGAATAAGGACATTCTCAAACAGAAACTCCACAATTTCGTCATGACTAAACCCCTACTCCAAAAAATACTACAAAAAGTCCTCAAACCAAATCCAACAGAAGAATGAACAAGAACAGTTCAAAACAAGGAATAAAAATATAGAAGGACCATAATGGCAAATGTAGGTACCAGTATATCAATATTATCTCTAAACGTAAATGGCTTAAGCTCATCAGTAAAAAGACACAGAGTTGGAGGATGGATTAAAAAACAGATGGATTAAAAATCATTCTGCTGTCTGCAGGAAACACATCTAACTACAAAAGATAAAAACAGACTGAAAATAAAAGGATGGAAAACAATCCTACAAGCAAATGGGCCAAAAAA